AAAAAAATGTTTATTTAACAAAATATCGTTATCATTTGTACATGGTAAATATAGAGGTTTCTTTCAAAGCATTGCCAAAATAAATTTCAAAGTCATAATTGCATCGCACTGGACAGGACTGTATTACATAACCCTTACAGCCTTTGTACACTGCATACTATACATATTTACTTTATTTATTTCGGATAATAATTTATATCTGATATCATCACTAATCAACATTCACAGTTTTTGTTTGGTGAGTCCTTAAATACTAGTTATTATATATTACATCAAGATAAGTAAAAGTAAAATGTTAAAAGTAAAATTGATGCTGGTATTCTAATACTAATTACAGAACAATAGGATTCGTTCCAAACACACTTGAAAATTAACTTGGTATCCTGATGCAGGACAAATACATTTTTTTTGTTACAAATTTCAAATCAATATTAATTTTCGACTATACAAATGAACAGACACAAACACTTGCACAGAAACATTTACACACATTGTTCTGGACAACTGCCACGGGATTTAGGAAATGGCTACAGAATTTACTTATTCATTTCTATATTCCCTCGTTACTCCAATCACTCCCCCTCCCCCTCCCGAGGACTTCAACTACTTTATCATTTTATTAATATTCCAATTCCCTCCCCTTTCAGTGACCCCCTTAGCTGATATATCAATATTCCTATCCCTGAAGTACTTCTTTTCGTCCCTTTACTATCCTCTCAACAGCCCAATCCCCACGAGGACTTCAGTTGCTAAGCAGTCTAACCCGACCGAGATCAGGCACGTTCTCAAAGGAGGATTTCAAGTCGTCCACGAAGCAGCAGTAGGTCCTTCCGCTGCTCGCGTCCCCCACGTCCCAGTCCACCCAGGAGAGCCAGGAGCAGATGTCTTCGCAGGGGGGTGCCTGGTTTGCCGCTCCCTGGCCATTGACGTTGTTAACCATCACGACCGCCACGGCTTGGTTTGCGTACGACTCGTAGATCACCTGTGAAGTGTAGAAGGTTTGACTTGTTAATCGTGTGGTTTGTTATTTTCCATTTAGTAAAGGTTTAATCATTTTTTAAAATTAAAACAGCATCGTCACTAAATCAAAAAACTTTACAATATCATACAGCCTTGAAATAAAAGCCTATTGACCCCTCCTTCATAAAACAAGGCCAGTCGTCCTTACTTTCCACATGTACGCAGGAACAGGAACAATCTCCTTGCTGTCGGAGAGGCCGAGGTACACTTTGACCGGCTGCTGCCTTCTGCCCGGGAGCTCCAAGACGCCTGCGGTTCCTGTCCAGACTTCTAACGTGCGCCCGTGTTTTTCGGCCAAGTCTCGCACGGAATTTTCTAAGCTCTGGAACAAGGGGAAACGTGTGATTATGGGAATAATAACGATATATATACATACATACATATATATATATATATATATATATATATATATATATATATATATATATATATATATATATATATATATATATATATGCATGTATATATATGTATATACATACATATATATACAAAAAAACAAATAACAAATAACAAAAGCCAAACGAGGCCCGCAGCGCTGCCCTTACCTTCCAGTTGCCGTTGTTGATGGCCTGCCACTGCGGAACGGCGTTGGCGTAATAGTAGGTCGCGTCCTGCTCGGCCTCCAGCACGAAGTCGGAGTCCGGCGTGAGGTGACCTCTGGCCAGGTAATGCTGACCTTTGCCGGTGAGGAGAGAAGGGTCACCCAGCAGCTCCTGGGCGAGACTCTTTTGCCTCCTGATGCGGTACGAGTTCTGGATGCTGAAGGAGAACATGTCGGCTTTCTTGAAGGAGGGGCGGCCCGGCTCCACCGTCTTCTGGCCGATGTGTCTGCGGAGGTTCGTTTCTTACTCGTTTGCTGTTGTTTTGTTGTTGTTGGGATCTGTGTTGTTACTGTGTTTGGTTTGTTGTTGTTGTTGGGATCTGTGTTGTTACTGTGTTCGGTTTGTTGTTGTTGTGAGATTGTTTTCTTTATTAGGTTCGTTATTGTGCCGTGGTTTATATCTGTTGTTTGTTGTTTTCATCGCATTATTTTTTTGTTAATAAGCAGTCTTATCATCGTAACTGCATACTGCATATTTTTTTATGTTAATCATTTTCTTCTGTTACTAAAATTTCATTTCCTTATTATCAGTTATTGTTATCACTATATTCTCTTCACGGTCCCTATCCCTTTCACCAACATAACTCTATTCAACGCCATCCTCCTCCTCATCCTAACCACCAGCCACAACATGCCCACCGTCTAAACCACAACCGCAACATAGCCCTCATAGTCTCACCTGCCAGGTACAACATGGTGTGAGTAGAGTGTGGTCTCGAGTTCCTTGTTGAAGCAGAGTTCGATTTCGGGAACGAACACACCCCTCTTCAGGTCCCAGCCGATGACGGTGGTGGTGCCCCCTTGCCCACAGGTCCCAGCCTCTCTGATGATAGGAGACGGTTTCTCGGCGCATCCCAAGTTCTCCCAGCTCAAGGCCTGTGGGTTTTGAAGGGTTTGGGGTTAGGTGAATAGTATGTGGAGGCTGATCTGAGCGAAGGCGAAGCTTAAGTTATGACTGGGGCGTGTGTTTCGTACATGGAGGGCATTTTGATGCAAGTGCAATGCAGATACAAGATACATACACGACCACACACACGGACACGCGAACACATACACACACACACACACACACACACACACACACACACACACACACACACACACACACACACACACACACACACACACACACACACACGCACGCAAAACGCGACAGCAATGGACAATTCCTAAAAATACAAAATGTCTCCGGACGCAGGCTTGCTTATCCAAGCAACTCCGGAAGGATATGGAAGTGCCAGAGATCGAGAGTGACGAAGGAGCTTGAAATAATGTTATGACCTTGAAGGAAATGTGAAAGTGACATTTTGTTAGAGACCGAGAGAGAGAGGGTGTGGGGGAGGGAGGAGGGGAAGGAAGGAGGGAGCGAGAGAGGAAAAGGGAAAGGGAAAGTAAATGGGAGAGGGAGAGAAAGAGGGAGCGAAGGAGGAAAAGGGAGAGGGAAAGTAAATGGGAGAGGGAGAGAAAGAGGGAGCGAAGGAGGAAAAGGGAGAGGGAGAGAAAGAGGGGGAGGGAGGGAGGGAAGAGGAAAAGAGAAAATAAAAGGGAGAGAGAGAGATTGAGGGGGAGGGAAGGAGGGAAAAGGGGAAAGGGAAAGGGAAAGTAAAAGGGAGAGAGAGAGAAAGAGGGGGAGGGAAGAAGGGAAAAGGGACAGGGAAAGGGAATTTAAAAGGGAGAGGGAGAGAAAGAGTGGGAGAAAAATTGAGGAAAAGCAAAGGCCAGCGGTTCATGTCTTGCTCAATTTCCTCTCTTTTGCTCGTCCGCTTTCACGTAGGAGAGAATTGGGGAGAGACGTACAGAGGGAGGATGAGGAGAGAGACAGAAATGGTGGAGAGAGAGAGAGAGAGAGTTGGTATATATATATTTACACACACATATATACACATACATGGATGAAAAATATAAATGGATAGAATGATAAAGAGGATGATGAAGAAGAAGAAGAAGAAGAAGAAGAAGAAGAAGAAGAAGAAGAAGAAGAAGAAGAAGAAGAAGAAGAAGAAGAAGAAGAAGAAGAAGAAGATGATGATGAAGATGATGAGGATGATGATGATGATGATGATGAGGAGGAGGAGGAGGAGGATGGTGATGGTGATGATGATGATGAAGATGATGATGATGATGAAGATGATGATGATGATGATGATGATAATGATAATAATAATAATGATGATAATAATAATAATGATAATAATAATAACAAAAAGACGCACTTCCGCCCCCCTCCCCAGGCACCACGTACCCTCCTGCCGTAGTGGAATCGCCCTCCCCTGCAGGTGATGGTGGCCGTCCGTCGTCCGTTCAGAAACAGCTTGTTATCTTTCCCGGGGCAAGCGGCCGTGAAAGACGCCCCCGCCCGCACGCCCACGATTCTGTCTTCGCCTTCCTCCTCGGGGTAGAGAAAGCCATTGTTGTCCGAATTCAGGAGGAGTGGCTTAATGTGGTTCTTGGGCACCTGGTCGTAGCCGAAGACGCAGTCGTCTTGGGAGAGAGGGAAACGGACAATGATTATAAGTTGTAAAAAGAAGGAAAAGAAGGAAAAAAAGAAGAATATGATTTTTTCCGTGTAAGTTATTCTGAATTCTTAATTTATCTAAAAAAAAGGATGGAATGCGTTTTTTTCCTCTATTTTTTTTCCCTGATTCTCGAGGGATTTCAAGCTAATGCTAACAAACCTACAAAACTACAGAACATAACATTATACTAATAGGATAAATAAACTCATACAAAGAATGTAATTTACCCCCAAACCCCAATACATGGGGCCTGATGCTGTTAGGCGACCACGGTTATCGTTGAAGTTCCAATACCCGTCTATGTGTTCAACTTTAAAACGTGATCTTTTAAAAAAAACATTTTCATTCGCCTTTTAGTTATTAATTGGGCTGCTATATTCACATAGATTGTCTGGGAGAATGTGTTCTGAACCTCTTTATTTTCACTATATCCTTTATTAAGTTTTTTTGTTTTATAGTCAGCCGTATTTATTATTTTTCTCGCGTCGGTCGGTCACTCGCTATCGAGAAAAATGAAAATGTTGATAATCAGAATGATCACGATAGTAGTCAAAGTGCTACTACTTGTATTACTACTGCCACTTTTAGTATTAGTATTACTACTTCTACTACAGATAATATTACTGCTACTGTTATCATTATTACTGCCGTTGGTATCATTATCAATACTACTATACTACTATTACTACTATTATTACTACTTACTATTCTTGCAACTACTTCTATTACTATTGTTGCTACTACTTTTACTACTATTGCTGCTACTACTACTATTGTTACTAATACTGTTAATGCTCTTTTAAATCATAACCGCCGTTACTACTGGCATTACTATGATTACTACCATTCATTTCCTACTACGGTTGACATTTTAACAAGCTTATAATACTATCTATACTACTATTACTATCAGTATTACTATTACTATAACTACTACTACTACTACTACTACTACTACTACTACTGCTACTACTACTACTACTACTACTACTACTACTACTACTGCTACTACTACTACTACTACTACTACTACTACTACTGCTACTACTACTACTACTACTACTACTGCTACTACTACTACTACTACTGCTGCTGTTAATACTATTACCACCAAGAACTAGGTGAGGAATTCTTGAATAAACACCACAAAAAAAACATCTGACAGAGAAATTAAAACGTCAGACTGGCGCCGTTGCCAAGTAGTCCTCTAACGCTACGCCAGCTCGGAATATCTTGTAGTCCCACTGGGAGTTTGCCTAAGAACTTTAAACAGCGTACTCGCAATCAGGCACGTAGGCCATGCTTATGCACAATCGTAGACGCATACATACGTGCACTTGCATAAACACATCTCCTTAACTCCCTCCTTGCCTCACTCCTTCCTTCTCTCCCTCCCTCCCTCCCTCCTTGCCCCACTTCCTTCTCTCGCTTCCTCCCTCCTTCTTTCTCTCCCTCATTCTCTCCTTGCCTCCTCCTTCCTTCTCTCCCTTACTCCATCCTTCTCTCCCTCACTTCCTTCTTGCCTCACTCCTTCCTCCTCTCCCTCACTCCTTCCTTCTCTCCCTCACTTCTTCCTTTTCTCCCTCATTCTCTCCTTGCCTCATTCTTTACTTCTCTCCCTCATTCTTTCCTTGCCTCACTTCTTCCTTCTTTCCTTCCCTCCCTCCCATCTCTCCCTCCCTTCCTCCTTGCCTCACTCCTTTCTTCTCTCCCTCCCTTCTCTCACTCCTTCCTTCTCTCCCTCTCTTCCTCTCTTTCTCTCACTCCTTCCTTGCCTCACTCGTTCCTTCTCTCCCTCCCTTCCTCCCTTTCTCTCACTCCTTCCTCCTCTTCCTCCCTTCCTCTCCCCGTATCCTCCCTCTATCCCTCTCCCTCTCCACCTCACACTTACCTTTAACAGGGCGTTGTTGGAACCAGGATCCGTCCCACCGAGTCTGACTTTGGATGACTTGCTGTTCCTCTTGTTGTTGTTGTTGTTGTTGTTGTTGTTGATGATGTTGTTGTTGTTGATGTTGTTGTAGGTGGTGTTGTTGATGTTGTTGTTGTTCTTGTTGTTCCCAGGCGTCGATTTGATGTTGTTGTTGTTCTTGTTGTTCCCAGGCATCGATGATTCGCTGCACAGAGGCTGAAATCCTCGACTGGGATAGATCTTCAAAGTCTGTTCTTCTTCGTCCGCTCACTCTTCTTCCTGGAGAGTCGATAGTGCAATCAGATTAAAGGATTTTTTTTCTTTATATCTGTTTTTTTTCTAGTCTGTACTTAAAGGGTCCGGCGTTAATAATGCATTTCTCATGAATAGACATACACACTCAAGAACAAAACGCTCTCCTTATCATAAATGCAATTCTTAACACAATGAGTAAGCGTATGAAAATAGCGTGAACTATAAATAACATTAAAAATGCAATGTCACTTCAACGAGTAAACATGTGCTCTAGATTGCTTGCAGTGCTTTGATACACTGTATTTCTGCAGCTTTTGTTCCATGATGGTCTCCTCCTTCGTCATTCGCGGTTTTCCTGCTCTTGTCAACGCCCCCCCCCCCCCCCCCACACACACACACAAGGGCCCCAGGGGTCAATGTAGCCAACCAGACGCGCGTGTTTTCCCGCAGCGGGAAGAACGCGTCCCGAGTGCCAGTAGTATGTAGGGCTAATTTTTGACACACACACACACACACACTCACACACACACACACACACACACATATATATATATATATATATATATATATATATATATATATATATATATATATATATATATATATATATATATATATATATGTGTACATATATATATATATATATATATATATATATATATATATATATATATATATATATATATATAAGAATATTTACGTATATCTATATCTTATGTATGTATGTATATATCATTTACACATTAATCAAAGCAACACATTACTATCACAACAGAGAAACGCAGCCAATATACACTTACTGCACAAAACGCCAGAAAAGAGAAGGGCACAGCACAAAAACACACGAACGAAAACCAACTTCATTTTCGATATTCGGGAAAAAAAATCGTCCGCATTCACCCACGGACAGTCAGATGGCGAATGATGAATCAGGCGCCAAGTTCTTCGGGTTTTATGTTCGTGCGATCTCATCCCGGACGTCCGCAAGGGCTGCCAAACGTACGAGTATCCGCGGGTGATGAACGGATTGGGTCTTCCCGCCGTATGACAACGTCTCAGGAAGCGGATGGCAGCGGCGGATGGCAGGAGGATAAGAACAGACAGCTCACTGATATAGGATATTTTTGTTACTGTTTTTGTTACTGTTGTTGTTGCTGTTGTTGTTATTAACGTCATCATCATCATTGAAAAAAAGC